TTTGCGTGAACAATCGTACACCGACGCGCAAAGAGGAGCCGGCATCGTATACGAGGAATTAAACAATCGACCGATTGTTATCGGGCGTGACGTCTAATAAATATGCAACGGGAATGCATCTACCCGGCGGTCTGCAGAACAAAAACATCGGTGGGTACCCCGGAAATTGTTTAATGGCACCGATAGAACACGGACACGCCGGCAACCTCCGAAAATTTCTACCTCGCGAGCACGCGATTTAAAACAGAGTCTAATTTCAGTGCAAACAATGAGTTTTAACGTTTGTTAAAACGCTCGTCCCCTTGCCCTTTCCATCGATCGATTCGATTGACCGAGATTACAAATTTATTAAAAAGAGACGGGGGAAAGAAAAAAAAAAAAGAAAAAAGAGAAAAATTTCAATGTCAAGGCTTATAATCTTTCCGTGTCTTTTTGTTTTTTTTTCCTTTTCTCTATCGTTTCTTTTTCTTTTTTTTTTTTTTCTTTTTTGCTCGTTAAAACAAGGAACAACGAGCAAACGGCGTTTCTTTTAATGATCTTTTCCACAGTGGCAAAAACGTGGCCGACACGTGATTAAAAAGATACGCGCGTGTAGTTTCGAAAAAGGTACGCGCAACTGTAAAAAAAAGAAAAAAAATCGTTTTTATCAATTTAAATCTCGGAATCGTAATCAAGACGTCGTTATTACTCAATGATACTTATAAGATGAATATAGAATAATTGTTTTTTTAAATTCGAGTCGCCAAAGTTGTTTCAAGATTGAATTTCTTTTTCTACATCACGATTTTATCTTACACGATCGCAAGAAAATATACGATGCAATCTTTTTCTTAAGTTGCTATTTATTTTCTTTTATCGTTCATTCTTTACTCGTTTTTTAATCAAATCGATTAATCGAAACGAACATTTTGAAGAATGCAACGAGAGAAAGAAAGAGAGAGAGAGAGAAAGAAATCAGATAACAATTTAAATAATTCTCGTCAGATTTTAGTCAGATAATTTCGCGATCCTTGGCTGCCTCGATTTCGATTAAGCCAGTTAATCGAGGTCCCTAATTCGCATCCACGTGTTCTCAGCGGGAGAGGAGAGAATCAAATGAGCCGAACGATATAGATCCTTCTTTAGGCTTTACGAAAGCATCGAATGGAACGCGTTTTCGCGTTCAAAGACGCGAGACCGATCATCGTTCGAACGGAACGAAATATCCAAGGAGTGGACAGGAATCGGAAACGAGCGTGGCGAGCTTCCGACCAGCGAAAAATAGCCTTTATCAGAGGAACTCGAACGAGATGAATTCGACTGGAACGGGTTTTATTCGCGTTACAACCGAGAATAATCGCGGTTATATCACGATGATATTTTCTCGTGTGCATCATCAGTTTATACGAGCAAGAACAAATCGAGTGACCATAAATTTTATTTATCGAAAATCCGTTGAATGTCCCTGAAGCCTAACTCCAACGATCGAGCAAAATCCGACTTCCACTTGACACGACTTTAACGTCACCTGGGACCGTACTTACAAAAGGATCGACGATTTACTCGATTCGAAACCTAACCTAACCTCTGATTCGAAACTTTATCTACGATCCAATGGAAAGAAATATTCAGGAATTTTGTTAAATTGGTTTCTCGGAATTCGAAGAAAACAGAGAAATATCATATAGATCAATTTGAAAAATTGATTAGTTCGTGCACAAGATATTTCGTAAAATTTTTAAAATCTATTTCTTCCGAAATTACTCGTTATCGTATCGCAATACTTCCATTTTGTCGTTCGAATAACTTCATTATATCATTATGTAAAACAAATTTTCACAAATAAAAAAAACTTGAAGATTTTATAAATCGAACTGAATTGAACGATAAAAAAAGTCTTTCGATCGCGAGCGTGAATAAATCTCGTTGCCGGCTACACGTGATATCGAATCTCAACTACGTCGAGAATGATGGAAGCTCAAAGGCTTAACCCGACCGTAATAATTTAGCAACGAGGAACGCGAGAACGTTGCCTTGAATTGAGAAACACTGGAGTTAGTACGGCCACTCGCAGACAGCGAGGCGCACAAGAGGCGTTCGCGCAATAGTATGTCATTCGAGATTGAATAATCGCGTTTCACTATTCGAAAAGCGCAATCGATATCGCTTCGTGGGTCCGCGAGCTTGATAACGGATAACACGATCGATACCAGTTCTCGAATGAACACGAGTTTCCCTCTATCGGTAATATCGAACTAGAAATCGATTAACCGTCAGATCGAAAGGATTCGAGATTGAATCGATTCGCATTCGATTAATCGAGAAATAGAAAAACTTGCAATCAGGTTATACACATCTGTATCAACGTTCCGTGCACAAAGATAAAAATAAAGACGACTACGAACGACAAAAACTTTCTCGCGAATAGATCCCTCGCGAATAAAATGGACGAGCGTATTGTCTCGAATCCCAACTCGAAGAACAATTCCATCTTGTTCTCTCTCTCTCTCTCTCTCTTTCTCTCTCTCTCTTTGCTATTCACTTTTTTCCACGATTCTCTGCGTCACTAAATACCGATAGCGTGACCATTTGCCTTGAATCGATAAATTCGATCGATTGAATTTGAGCAAATGTTCATTGAACACCAAAAATACTGTAATTTCCAAGGGAATAGTCGTACCGATTGCATGAAAAGCGACAAGAATGCGACAATGCGATGCCGAATCGCGTGTCTACAATGGCAAGGTTACAATTTCGAATCATTAAATTTATAGAGAACTGCAATTTCACCAGTCGTACCGATGCTTTTCGATACTTTCACAATGGACAATCGTTTCTAGAATTGTGGCAATATTTTCATAACATAATATTCTTTTATTTATAAAAGATAAGAAGGAATCCAAATGAAATTTTTGAAAACAAATGATGAATGATTTTGTAAAATGAATTAAATATAGCAGAGATAAACGAATTGCATGGGAATATTCATTATTTGGTATTATTTGATCCTTTAATTATTTTGAACAATGCACAGGATATATCGCATAATTACATTACAGTTTACCACCAATTATCATCGCATTGTTCCACGGGCTTCGCATTATCAGACCTACTACGTTCGCAATTAACCGGCTCGTCGTCCAATTGGTTTAAAACGATAAACACGATACCGTACGATCTTGTAACCCCGCCACGCTATATATAAATGAGAATTTTATTACAATGAGACAAGAATTCGTCGATAAAAAAACGGTAACAGTCGCACATGGTTCATTAGCCAATCATGCACAATAAGAAATAGCGAAGCCCTATCCGTAGGCCAGGTGACTCACGCTGCGTACCGAGCACGCGAGACCCGATTGCTTTTAAATAGCGATGCATATTATATGCGAGGAAGGTCCACGCGCGCCAACCGATAAATTATGGCCTTCTATAGCTTGCATGTTAAACGCGAATGAACATTTGCAAATTGTAAACGTGAACTTTTTTCCTTTTTTCCGCGTTTTCCTTTTTTCTTTTTTTTTTTTTTTTATTCTAGAAAGAATTCCAATTCCAAGCTTGTGTGAAACTTTCTTCGCGAATAATTCATTGCAATCACTTTATATTCCGTAATATTCTATATAGGAAAGAAACTTACTTCGATGCACGACGAAATTTAGAACTGTGTGAAAAAGAAACACTACACATTATTATCTCAAGTATCAAAAAGAAAACACTATTTTTGAACGATTGACATCGATCTGTGTAATTCGCTGAATCGAATTCGTTCGTGCGAACGACATCGATTGATTATTCTTCGCAGCAATGTTTAGATCACACGATCCACGAAATATGATTTTAAGAAGAAATAACGTTGCACCCTCGAAAAATCGCGCGCGTTGCACCGTATCGTTGTCACCTTGAAACACAAGCCAGTATCGTGGTGCCGCGGAGAGCGCGCGGGTTGAATGTGCCACGAAGAAGAGACGCACAAAAGAAACGGTTCGGAACTGGTTCGGCGAAGTCGAGCATTCTCGGGTGCGCACGACGTACACCACGAACAATACGATTTTCTAGGAGGAAACGGTGCAGAAGAAGCCAGGAGAGGAGGCGATGAAGGAGAGGGAGAAGGAGGAAGAGGAGGTGAAGGAGGAGAAGAGAGAACAGCAAGGAGGGTCGCGGAGCACGTGAAAGGCGATTTAAAGGGAAAAAGAAGGAGGTGGCCTTTAAAAAAAAAAGAAGGAACATGGCGAACCGGTCGCAGCCTCCATTCGTCAGCTGGGAGCTCAGCTGCAGCCGGGCGCGGTGACCTCGACGGAGCTTCACGGAAAACCGAGTCAATTTGCAAGCAATAACGGTGTCATGCCGCGCGTCGTTTTCATTGGTGATTTAATGCATTTTTATAGATTCAGCAATCACACTGACGTTTCTTCATTTCTTTTTTCGAATGAAAAACACACACATCGATATACCGGCGAGTTTCTTTCAATCAAGAGACAACGACGTTTTACGAAAACGCGGTCATTGGTTGCTTTACAGGTGATCGAAAGTACCCGACCGACTGACAGTTCAACGACATTCGTCTTTACCACTGCATGGGAAACGTGTTTCCATTTAGAAACATCGTATAAACGTTTCTATCGATATCAATCACACTTTAGATCCGAGAAATTTCAAATTCGACGAACCGATTATCCTGATTCCTTCAAACGACTTTTATCACTTAATTACTCAAACATCCGATTTGTTTGTGTTTACCGAATCTTTCATTCACCACTCCCGATTTCAAACTACACTTAAAAAAAAAATATACAGAAATATATACATATATATATATATTCCATCTTTAAAATCGAATTGATGAAATATCTATTAATATATTCAAAATATAGTTGATAACTAAAAATTTTTGTTTCATTGACAATTTGTATATTAAAATCGAAATCGAATAAACAATTGAAATAAATAAAAGACATTCGCGGACTGTCACAATTAAAGGTAAAAGAGGTTACAGAATAGGATCGGAGCACCTTTCGGTATTGTAGGAAAACTACGTATTTAAGTAAAGTAAAAATCTTGAGGAGATATCGCGTTAGAAAGAGATAATTTAAACGAAAAATGAAAGTAAAGGAAAGAAATTATAATTTTTAAAAGAAACACGGTAAACCGGTCGGTGCGTTCGTTCATCAGCTGAGAGCCCAGCTGAACCCAGCGGCCGCTGTAACCTCAACCTTTCTAATAAGCTGTATTTCATGAAAAACAATTAATCCTTGATGTCCGCAAGTCCTGCAGATAAAGATAAAGCTAAAATACCTGACATTCAACTTTCATCTATAGGCGAACGATGAAACGCACGAAAACACTGGATTTTTGGAGATAAAACTTTTTGAAAGCCCACTCACAATGGAATCTTCCAGTAGACTGGCCGAGCCGGCAAGCCGTTCTCTTTTGCGTGCACACCCACCGTTTCGCGCACTGTCTCACGTTTTACACCGTTAATCTTTCTTTCATGAATCGTTTCGACTTTTAAAACAGCGGAAGGCTTCACGAAAAGGTTTAGCCGTCGTTTCGATCCGTTATAAAGTGCTTATTTGCAGCAGAAACGCGGCGGTATGCATACCGCTGACAGTTCGAGCTGTCACTTTTTGACGACCGCATACGTGTCGCCATCTGATGTCACTGCCATGAAACAGTATGTAATTTGAAAGAACCGCGCTTGGATCACTTAGCAACAAGATCAATAGACTAAATTAAAGCAAGTCTCGTAGTAACAATGTATCTATAGCGATTTTATTTATTATTTAATAAAAGATGAAAATCAGTGAATATAAAATTTCATTTTAATATTTTTAACGTTTTCTTTAAACGTTTTAAATATTACTATAAATATATAATTCATTTGACTTCCGGTATAATTTCAAATATTCAAAGTTCCAGCTACTTTCAAAATTCAAATATCATAATAAAAATAGATGTACAATTTCTTGATTTTCATTTCAAATTTTATTATAATAATCTCGTTCTGCTAGTACAAAAAAACCGAATATCCTCACAATCATTTACAAGATATAACAACGTATTATATAAACATTTTTTCTCGAATGCTTACGCCATTTTTTCTTATTTTGTACTTTTTCCTGTCTTTTTATTTCAATGCTTTTATTTAATGATCCATATCACGATTCTTTCGCTCTTAACGTGAATATAATACTTGAGATATATTCATTTTTACAACATTAATTGTGAATATATCTTCTTTTAAACAATATACAATTACACTCATACATATCACATTTTATTATAATGTACTAACAATAAATGACCCATTTTTGACACTTTTAAATTATATAAGTTTTATAATAATTCATTGACTAAAAGTAATACTTCCTATAAAAGTTATTAAATTCTGTCTTTTAAATATCAATTTATGAAATATATTTTCTTTTTCTAAGAGAAAAATTTTCAATAAGTAAGATCAAATTAATCTTATATATCAATAATAAAAAAGAACTATTTAATTAATAATAACACGAATATTAGAATATATGAGCAATGTAAGAAGAATGATTTCTAATATTCGAATCTAAGTATTCAGAATATGATTTTGCAAAAAAAGTTGTAAAATTGTTGTAGAATTTTAAGCAAAATATATAAACATTCAAAGACGCATGATAAAATCAACATCAATTCCTTTTAGGAATTATATTTTCTAAAGATTTTTTCATAAAAATACAATTTATAAATTTATCTCTTTCTTAAATATCATTATATGATTCAAAGTAACTAATGAAATACTTTCAATTAGAATATTTTCACTAACAATTTATATATGCAATAATTTTAAAAATATGAATAAAAATATATGTAAAAACTCTTTGAATATGAAAGATTGAAAATGATAACGATGATGTTATTAACATAGAGAATGTGACTGTACATTATTTAAAATTATACTATACTCTGAACAATTGCTTAACTAGAGATCTGGTGCAAACCATTTACGCAACTAACAAGAAACATACGCCAGCGTACTTGAAATTTTCTGTTACTACTAATCTAATCTATTCTGAAGTCTTTGTGCAATTGCGGCAACAAGTGCAGCACCTTTCCCACTTCCATCCTCAGCATGAATCATCTTGAACTATAAATTAATGATTAATTAAATAAAAAATAATAATATAAAATTACATAAAAAAATAATAGTATAGAAAAAATATTCATTGTAGTATACTTTGTGATCAGGAGCTAATAATGGAATGTACTGTTTGATCCATGTCTCTAGTCGAGGATGATGCTTGTATAGAGATCCATCTACAGCGATTGTGACATGTTTTCTATCAATTCGCTTTAACAAAACTGCTAAGCCTAAACAAATAACAATAAATTAACAATTTAATATTGTTTATCTATTTACTAGTCGAATTTCATTATTATCTAAACTTACATATTGAAACAAGAAGAGCTGCGCGATTAGAAACTACTTCGCAAACATATTGTACAATTTTCACATCATCTTCATCCGGAATGATACCAAACTTCATTAAAACTTCCTTCGTACTGTTATAATCACCATCTACAGAGTCTCTAAATTTCAGTATTCAATAATATATTAAATATTTGTATGGTAGAAATGTATTATAAAATTTTCTAATTAGAAAAAACGTACTGTTCAATATCAGATACTAAATCGCTGGTAAGATTGCCGGGAACCAAAAGAGATCCAGGTGTATGATCTCCTATGAATAGAAGGCCATCTTTGTATAATTTTGCAAGTACCACTCTTACAATCTCGCCCAAATATTTTCCACTAATATACTTTTCAAACCTGATAATTCGAAATGTTATAGTATAATAAATTTATCAAAAATTCTTATCTCTTATATTTTTCAATTGAATTTGTACTCACGTAAAAGAATTCACAATAAGCGAATTTGCATCATTTTCACGATCAAAATCTGTTTTGATAAAATCCAATACACCGTTATCTCCAAATGCACCCCATTCAATATCGATAATGACCTTTAATATATAATGAACAATTTAATCTTCAAGAAAAAATATTGATTCTGTATCAAAAAAAATATTAAAAAAAGTTACTTGACGTTCTCCATGTCTCTCAGTCTCCCAGTGCTCAACTCTATCAGCTCGTTCAATATAACAAGCATTGCTACCAGTACCTAATATAAGTCCAATTGCAATATCAGGATCCAATGTTGATCCTTGTACCAGTGTTCCTGTAGTATCGTTCAAAATTGCTACAACTTTCACTTTAGTATCTCCTCGACGATCCAAAGCTTCGCGCAATAATTTCACAGCATCTTCGTTAACAACATCGGGACAATTGAAAGTTTTAGTCCAAGTCACTAGTATTCCAATATCTAACGAATGTTGAATCATCGGAAAGGAGAATGTAAATCCTAAAAAAACAAATTGATATAAATTGTATATCCACAAGAAAAATATTATTTATATGTTATTTATATATTATACTATTATATTATATAAATTATCAATCGCATGAGAAATCAAAATAATTTATAATTAATCGACAATAAATATCATCCACTCGAATTCATAAAATTATTGTAAAACATAATACTCAAGATCTAAATCTATATCACAAAGTGCTTGAAAATATAAGAGCGATATATACAGATAAAAATTTTATTCAGACTCAAGACAATTGCAATTATTCTGAGATCATGAAATTAAGAATAATTTTCAAGCAACCACTTTTAAGTATAGATTTAATAATTAAAAGTCTGATTCGACACGTGATTCTTTAGACACCTTAAACGTTATGTACATTGATTTCAATTTACCAAGGGGAAGCTCTACATCTTGAAGACCCTGTGCAATGACGAAATCGCTAACGCATTCCGCTAGGTAATCAAACAGACGAATCCCCGAACCAACTCTCAAATCAGAGCTAATGTGATATTTCTTCACTTCTTCTCGTTTAGGTATACCATGATCCAATTCTAAAAGAAGAACTCGGAAATTCGTTCCTCCAAGATCCAATGCCAAATATAAACCCTTTTCTGCAAATATTTTAAAATTAATATTATTATTAATATTATTAACAAATTATTTAACAAATACATAAAACTAAAAATTACAATTTTAAAAATCATATTATTAAATATATTATATTTAATATTTTAATAAATATTTAACATTTAACATCTTACAATTGTAAAAATTTCTATCGATCATGTATCGGAATATTATACTTATTGTAAAAGTTTTTATTAAAGAATATTTTTAACAACCTGTGCCATCGAGAAGTTCTGGAACGTAAGTATTCTCCATCTGCAATGACGATGGTTGCTGATGAATTCCTTTATTCATTTCCGATTCAAAAACATCTTGAATATTCTTCACAATTGTAGTCGAAAATTGTAGCCGTGCCAGTTTTTGCTCAATCTACAATTTAAATAACAAATAAATCTTCTTTATCTTATATATAATCATAATCAAAAGCATTTGATCAAAATAACAATCACAAAATTTTCCACGAGTCATAAATTTTAATAATCTTTTGACAAACGATAGGAATTTTCGTAATTACTCTTTATTACGTGATCTTTAATGGAATTCTAATGGATGAAATAGAAGAAAAGATTACGTATACGTTAGTCAGATGGCGAATCGCGATAAAAAGTGATTACATTTGCGACAATATAGTCTTTGAAGGAAGTTTTAATCAAACAACTTTTTAGAAGTATTATGTGTATGATAAAATATTTTATATATATTTAAGTTTATGTAAGAAAGATGATGTTATCGAGACTAATGAACGTTGTTATTTGTATCTATATGCATACATTACATAGATCATTTCTATCAATTTCAATATCATCTCGATTATTTCCTGCTTCGAGTTTCGATGTACACAAGTATAATATCGAAAACAGTTCTTATAATAGGATAATATTAATATTTCACTTCCTCGAAGGTAAACTGGTTGCATTCAAGCAAACATCATCGCTAACATAAAAATTCTGAAAATTAATATTAAATCGACAAATGAAAGACAAGAAAATATCTCGATTGAATTTTTTTATACGAATTAAATTCATCAGTACAAGAAAATATATTCATGAATTATTTCCTGTATACATGCATATAAATTGTACTTGCATATAAATAGTTTCGGATTTACATTTGAGATAAGATATTAAACGAAATAATAATTTAAGTGGAAAGAAATTTATTAGTTATACTCTTTCATGAATTGTCAAGCAATGATACTGATGAATAAAATTATGTCCATATGCCATATCCTGTTCCCGTGATCTTATCTATTCTATATCAATTCGAAAAATCAAGGAAGAAGCCAAGAGTGCGATCGTGTTAAAATAAGAATAAGTAAACAGAAATTAGCCATGACATTGTAATCTACTTTAATCAAATGCAGAAAGAGTGTGTGTAGTAATCTTCAATTTTTAAAACGAGAAACTGATAACAAGAATGGATCAATATATCTATTAATTATTATTCGTTTCGTATCCATTCTGTTGTTACGTGAAACGGCATATCTCTTATTTACGATAACTTATTTAAAAATCTTGAACTTTTAGTAAAAATTTCCTATGATAACCTTATATATGTCAAAGAGCATGATAAGCAAATAACTTATTTGCAACTAAACGATATTGTTAATAACTCGTTAAATTTCATTTCATTTTTCCTTAATCTAGTATCATATTTTCTTATTTATAAAAAAGATATATTATTTGATTCCATTATTTAATTTTTTATTTTTTTCTTGAATCGAATTTTGTAAAAAAGAAATCTTAAATTCTTGTTAAAATATAACAATATATTGCTTAAATTCTATATAAACGATAAACGATTACGTAAATTTTATATTTATAAGCAAAGTAAAGATATAAGAGAATAAATTATTTTTGGTAAGAATTGCTACAAAGATCAATGCGAACAAAAGTGAAAGTATATGTATTCATAATCAATCAGTATTCAGTAAACTCTTAATAAAAATGTCGTAAGGTTAAGGACTCGATGGTCACTATTTTTTGCATCAAAAATGATTCAATCTAGTTTACATTAATCGATCAGATATCAATCAATTATATTATAGTTATACAAGAAGTATAATGAACAGAAAAAAATATATATGTATAAATATATATAAGTATAGATGTTATTTAACTATTCGTTCTAAAAATTTTTGAAATAATAGCAATACGTAATCAAATAATATTAATAAACAGTAATAAATGATAAATGTTTGAATCGATTTCCATAACGTCGTATTATTTTGTTAAACATCATTCTTACCACGCATGTGGACTTATTGTGATGGAATTCCGCATATCCTTTTATTTGTATATAAATATTTACAAATGGTGAAAATTCACTAAGAATGGAAATTCATTTTAAATAATCATGCAAGATATTGTTCACGTGTCAAAATAATCATTATAAATATAATAATTTTACTCACCTTATGTCGCTTTACGTTGTCCGAAAGCACCAACGGTGCTACTTGAATCGCCTCATGAAGGGCATTCTCTGTAGGGACGACCATGTCTTACTTATCTAGAAAAATGAAAAAAATTATATTCTAATATATGTATATATATATAAATATTTATAAACTTATGATACTTATAAAATTCGAATAATAAAATTTAAGGAGTACATTTTTGATGCATATAAATGTTTTAAAAATCAATAATAATAGTTTTTTAAGAAAAAAATCATGAGCAGTCCATACTCACCTGATTACCGCTTACGTTATCCTCAGATAGAAGATTTTTGAATGAGAGAAGCCACGCTACGAGACGAATGTGAATGAATTTACAAGACGGATGATAAGGTGTACGCGACAAGACAAACAGTCGCGTGGTTCTCCACGAGCACGAGAGACGTTCTGAGCACGAGTTAATGAGATCGCACCGTTTATTATTACTCGCTTATTTATTTTCCCTCCTTCCCTCGACATTCGGTAAAATGATAACGCCACAGTCTCACTATTAAACTAAAAGTTGAAAGTCCACGATATTTTATAACGTTTGATAAGCCGAATAATCGAGTCGTATGAATTATATCATCTCGTCTTGAAGAAGCAGCAGTCCAACGTTTTCTCTCTTCGGATCGATGCACTGCATTATAGTGATTCGAATAATGATCACTTTTACATCGTTTTCTTGAGTTGCTTAAATTAATAACTGGCGCAGCGATAACAGATAACCTATAACACGAATGTAATGCATTTAACGAGCTGAATGATATAGATATTTTGTAGATGCAAAAATGAAATTTGTCTGATCTAACTATCTTGAGAAAAAAAATTAAAGAGTAATCGTATATCGTGAATCTACAATGATATTGACCTTGATGGAGAAGAAAGTACAATTCGCATTTTAATTAAATGTTAGAAGAAGATTACGATTGCTTGACCAATATCGTTATGAGACAGCCAGTTGTTCCAGGGGTCATCAACTATCATAATATTATCACTAATTGATAAAGAAGAAATATAGATGATCATAACTTATGTATGTATATTTTTTCAAACAATTTTGTGATATATATATTTTGGCCAAAATATTTTGCTCGTATCAAGTTTTTCACAGATGATATCAAATGAAAAACTCAAAAGATAATCTCAAAAGATGAACCATATGAACTTCGAAGAATGTTGCAACAGTTACAAGCAAGCAATAGTTATACTGATAGCAGAATTTGAAAATATTTCACGATTAACAAGAAGTCTTATATGTTCACCGTTCATTAATCATATCTTGTTGAAATTGTAATATTCAGATTCTTTTGATTCGATAAAAGAAAAATACAATATATACTGATCACGATTCGTGAATGTAATTTTTCTTGCGAACTTCTTGTATGTTGTATACTTTTGAAACTGAATGTCTGTACACGATGAACACGTGTGTGTGAAATTAACATGCATACACATATGCGCATTCATATTGCAAGTACAGTCTTGTGCATAAACTAATTGTTTGAATCGATCGAGTGGTTCATTGAACTTTTGAATAAAAAAAATAATTCAATATTATAATATCACTATTATTGACTTATTTAAATTCTGAAACACAAACGAGATAATTTATTATAATATTAATATAATTATCGATGAAAAAAAAGTTTGACACAATAAAAAAAAATGAAATCGAACAAATTTTGATAATATCAATATTAAGAATATAAAAGTTGAAAAACCCGTTCAACAAGTGAGATTTGGCGAATGATATATTCCTGTCTCTCACATATCATTGATATATATTATTTTTATTATTTTTCTTCATTTCATAATTATTTATGTGTAGTTAATAATAATAATGAAGTGTAAGAAAAAATAAATAATAGCATAATAGAAAAAAACTAAATAATAACTTTAAATTGAGTAGTAAGATTGATTAATCTGTAAGAATCAAAATGAATAAAAAAATATTTATAAATAATTACAAATTAGATCCATACCTACAATACAAACAATATAAATTCAATTATTACGCACATGTTTTCAAAAATTAGATATTTGATGAATCGATTAATTTAATCGATAATCGTTCAGGTTCGACAATTTGCGATAGATTTTTCACGATCGATTACCAAAAGAAAAAGACACCATAAAATGTCACTAGAATATTCTTCGAGCCAGCAAAGTCGCTTCGAACGAAGCTCCATTAAAATCAATTGGAAGGTGCAAAGCGTCAACCAGGATAATTTAGCCACTTGACCTGATGTGATGAATCTAATCCACAGTGCAATACGCACACTCGTCACAGAGACCATCTTGACCATCACATTTCTAACGACACCTTCTTCGAATGATGGTCCTATAAGATGAATTATTACAATTATTTTTATTCTTTACCTGTCATTAATAATCTAACATTTATTTCTTTTTTATTATTTATCATTCCACTATCCATTTATTAACGAATGTGACGTAAATAAAGTGTCATAAGAGTTCATATAAACTGCGTGCACAACGATTGTCAAGCGCAGAGTTCATACGGTCAATTTCGTGCAAAATTAAAACTGTGAGCAATTTCGAACGCAATGTCTGTACACGATAACAGATTACTCTTTCGTTAAGAGCATGAACGGTTATGTATGATCTTTACCGCATGAATTATAGAGCTTCCGTAAATTACGAGACCATTATCACCAAGGTCTCGAAATAAATCTTAATCGAATAAAATTCTCTTCAGACTCATTTTGTGTTTTGGAATATTGAATTTTATTATTGAAATCATTTCTAAAAATTTCAAGTATTAAAATATTAAGATTTGAAGTATTAAAATAAAATATAAAGTATTAAAATATTAGATTAAAATATTAATCTAAATCGCGAAATTGTCATTTATTAAAGAAAAAACTTTTTATCTACTTTAATGATATCATATCGGTAAAAACCATAACTAATCAACAGATAATATAATTAATATATTAAAATTATATAAAAAAATTACACGATTAAATTTACACGATTAAAATTACATTTGTATGAATATCGTAAATTCATGGGATCAGCACTTTATTTTTAAAAACATTTCATAATTATTGATGAAATTAATAGATTAGAACACATTTATAGATATATTCTTTCAAATAGTTGTTAATTTTCATTAATTTTTCGTTAATTTTTCGTTAATTCTTCGAATTTAATAAAAGACAATGGAATATATTCTATACATAAAATGGTATGTCAAAAGATAAAAAAAATATATAATTTTTAATTCTAAAAATCATGTAATTGATTATTGTCATAAACTTATTTTACAAAATTAATTTATACGATAATAATCGGGCCAAATGATAAGATATTTATCGAAAATAATCAATATTTGACAAATGTAATATAAAAAGACATACTTCCTTGTTGTCTTGTATTGTAAAATAAAATTGAACCATAAATGACAAGATTTAATAAAAAAATGAAGAAAATGCAGTATGAATATGTACGAGATAGAGCAATGATAATTTCTGAATTTTGAAAAGGTCGATAAATGCGACATTAAAACTGTGCAAATCCATAGAAATACGTTAAATTGCGATGACAACATGTGTAATATAACATTTCAAGGACCCACGTGGTCTCATCAACAAAATAAACATTGAATATATGTTTTTAATTTCACATATCGCTAATGACATCACATTTGAAATCAATTAAAAAAATATTAAATCTGCCAATCGATTCAAAAGTAATACATGATATTATGATGATATCAATTATATCTACGAATAAAATCAAACATACTTCTATTGTCAAGGATCAACGAGCCTGATGGCGCCAACTAGTGCGTATGGCCTGTTCTAGGAAAATAAAAAACACAAGCTCACCCTAACACTTTCTACGTATGATTGCCGATTTCCGTGATCGCTTCAGCTTCTGATCTTCTATTCTTTGCAGGATCCAGTTACTGGTCAGTGATTATAAAGTTTCTCGAATCGTATCAGAGCACGCACACGTATAAACACGTGTATTGAATACCGTAAAATGTACTCCGTTTCAGAGCAGCAACTGGTCGAGCCTCCAGATTCTCGCTTCCCCACTGCTTGAACTTCAAAACCATATCGGTGCTTATTACATGCGCGCGCCTTTGCTCATACAAGCGTTTCAAGTTTCACATATGCGTACAACTACATGTAGATTACGTTTGCGTATTTTTGTAACATATAAGTATCTGTATTATATCACATGAATATACGCATACATGTATAAAACATCGCGTGCATTAATATCATATAATATTGTAGTCATGATTCAAAACCGCGTAATACATGTAAAGCAAAGATTTCTTTAGCATATAATCATACACAATAATTCACAATTCACACAATTCACAATTTGTATGATTTTTTTTCCATTATATTTATTATATTTTCAATTTGTGTTCTTATAATACGATAATAAAATAATAAATGTATAATTCTTTGAAAAATTCTTTAAGAAAAGGACAAAAGGAATTGTGAATAAAAAAAATATATGTAAATAACTACTACTCAATAAAAATTTATTTAATATAAATTAAACGAACATATGGAAATTTAAATAACAGATTCCGAATACTCCTGCAGATTCACATTATATCAGTTGAATGGAGTTTGAATATAGCTGCAATAAAATAACATCCGTCTCCTAAACTACATAGGCTGAATGGAGTTTGATTAAATTGGTCAGCGTGTTTAAATTTAGATCGTTACAATTGCCGACCCTCATGATTTCATAATGAATAGCACTATTCTATAGACAACCAACTTGCACTTCGAAATGATAATTATTAAAAGCACAATACTTTAATGATATATCAAAATATGTTTTTGAAAACTTTTAAACTTGTTTAAGAAAATGTGAACAAATAATTAATTAAATTTTAGTATTGTTATAGCAAATTTTCATGCAAAATTTAAATCATTAAAATATAAAATGTAATCATATTAAAGTATAATTAATTTTTAAAAATATAATTAAAAAATATAATTAATTTACTTGTATTATTTAATTATAAAATAAAAATATTGCAAAATTCTATTTTATATTTAATTTTTGAATAGTTTTCATTATAGTTTAACTAGCATTATGTTTACAAAAACAGTAAAATAAAATGTAAAAATTATAAATATAACAAATTTACATTATTCTGGTAATAAATCATCGCCAAGTTCTTCGTCACCGAAATCATCATCTCTCTTTCCAGCAGATGTCATAGGACGAATAGGCAATGGGCCAATAGGATCAACATAAGAAGGAATGCCTACAGAAAGTATTTTATATGCGCTCATAATTTAACTCCATTTTTAATCTATTTTATATTAATTTGTTAAATATTTAAAATTTTAATAAAAAACTTTATATTGCTATACAAATCTGGAAATCATTATATGAATCACATATGTATATAGAAAATGAGAATAGGCTGTTCAAAATAAGTACACTCATCTATCATCTATTCAATCCATTAGGATAGTTCAATTATTATCTGCAGATCATTCTTGTTAATGCTCATTTCAAATAAAGCTATGTATTTCTGATAACTGTAGTAAATGTTCGATTTTATACATATCTATTTTCTTACAAATTATAATAAACATATACATACCTGTTTGATCAGTCATATCAATTGTAGATTCCGTAATATTTTCAACTGCAGAAATTCGATTAGAACGAATGATATCAGCACTACTTAAATTTTGATTTTCTTTTCTATTAAAAATAGGACTTGATCTATGATCTGAGATTACACTCATTCCAGAACCAGTTCGTGATGATGCTCCACTATTACTCCTTCTTGACCCTAAATATAAATATAAATATTAAACATTGTTATATCTCATGTAACTAAAAATATAAATTATACACCTGGTCTTGCTGATATTTGTCTATCCTTTAATTCTTTCGCTTTCTCTGCGCGCTTTAATTCTGTTGCATATAATTGCGCTTCTTTTAAGCCGAGATCACTACATAAACGAACTAAGAATTTTAAGCATTCAATATTTTCAGGAAACTTATTATGAATATCTTGATATTCTAAAACAGCTTTATGAAATTGACCAATTCGTCTTAAACATGCAGCAACAAGTAATCGCCATCTTGGCTCATCGGGAGCAAGTTCGACTGCTTTTTTGAAATAAACTAGTGCTTTTTCAGCAATTTGCATTGATACGAAATATGATCCAAGCCAATCAATTACTTCAAAATTAGCGGGAAAGAATCTATAAGACTATATGAATATAAATTTGAATAATAAATATAATGCGAAAGAACAAAATAAAATATGCATGCACATATATATGTATAATAAAAATTTACATCACTATAAAATTGATATGCTTGTTGTTTATCTCCAGCAGCATCATACATTTCGCCTATTTTTTGTAGAATTCCAGGATCACATGGTATTATACCAAGTAATTGATTATACCTAATAATTAAAATATTAATAATTAAAATATTAATAATTAAAATATTAATAATTAAAATATTAATAATCCATAAAATTAAATAAATTTAAAATATATAAATAATAAAAATATATAAATAAAAATTTAAAAGTAATCATAATACCAATCTGTTGCTTGATCTATGTCGTCCATAAGTTGATATAACTGACCAATTTGATATACTGTTTGTGGATCATGTCTAACGATATTACGAACTTTCCAAAAGCATTCCAATGCTTCTTCATACATATTTTGTTTTTTATATACTAATCCTGTTAAAGTTTAGTTTTCATTAAATGTTTCATTAAATATTTATATAATTATTAATAATATTTACCTAAATTATAAAGAGCTTGTATATGACTAGCATCTGTATCTAATGCACATAAAAGAAGTTCTCTAGCAATATTTAATTCACCCTTTTTAATTGCACATGCTGATAAATTAACATAAGCAGCTGCATTATAACTATCTGCATTTCGAGCAATTTCTCCGCATCTTTCCGCCTGATCATAATCTCCTTGCTAAAGATGATATAAGAATTATTCTATTATTCAATTTGCATTTTACATTAATAAAAACAAATATTTCTTACGAGAAAATAAATAAAAGAAAGCATAGTTGCAGCTGAACTATTAGCTTTACTTTCACGATTTTCAAACATTTTCAAAGTATCAATAGCCAACTGGGTATCCCGATTATGTAAAAATACCATAGCTTTATTTATTTCTAAATCAGCAGCTAATAGACCATAAGCTGAAGACTTTATAGTATCTACACACCTTTATAAATTTTTATTATAATTAAAAAATAAAAAATTAAATTTTAAACTAGTACTTATATAATAAAGTATTTTTTTAAATTTTACCAAGCAAAGCCAGCTGTAAGAGTATCTTCAATTACGGGTGCTATGAGTTTTGCAGCACAAAGAATAGTTCTTTCTGCTTCTGATTTTAATTCTTTCTCTAACTTAGATAAATCATCATTTTTTAAAATTTCATTCAATATATTAAAAGCGACATCATCCTAAAAAATAAGATAACAAAATTTAAGCAAAAAATTAAAATAAATATTTTATTAAAATTTAATTAATGTACATTTACATTGTGCTCAGAAGATATTGTATTATCAATAAACTTGAAATTGCTACGCAAAAGTATTAGTGCATAAAATCATAACATTTATTCATATATTTCTCTATATTATTTAAAATATGAGAATAAATAATTATAGCTATTGAGTGTGGGCAGTGCTTAAAAAAACACATTGCATAGTGATGTTTATAAACGTGCCCAACTCACTGTACTTATATTATATCTGTCCTCCTGATCTATGTTAAGCTGAACCTCTAACAATTCTAAAAATGATCTTTTCATTTTATCCCTATGAGACAATGCAAAATGGCATAAAACAGCATGCAAGCCTGCTTTAAATTCAGGTCTTTCTTTCATAACCCATTCAAAACTATTAGCTGCTTCTTCTAAACGACCCATTTGTACAAATAGCATTCCAATGTTATGCATTATTTTTATTCTGTGAATTATTTAGTAAGTTAATGTTAATATCAACAAGGAATATAAGAATTCTAATTTAATTAAATCAAACAAGTTCTTACAATAATCTAAAATCATTTTATTACCTTAAATCTTTATGAGCTGCTGGAGCTTGATCAAATGCCATTCTGTACATTTTAATTGCTTGAGATAATTGTCCCATTTTAACATATATATTTCCCATATTTACTTTTAATCTAGCACTATTACTGAACATTCTATTTCTTGTTATAGCTTGATAAGTTGCTATAGCTTCAGTAAACATATTATTGTTAGTATATTGAGTTGCTAAATTGAAAATGACCTGAAATATTATAATATATTAATAATTATATTATATTATATTAATATTTTAATTTTTTTATGAAAATGAATACTTTATTTCATAATTATAAAACAAAATTTAATTCTTACAGCAAATGTTAAATCTACATTATGATTATCACTAAGCCCAGCTTGTTCTTGTAATCTAATGAGAGTTCTTTCTCTTGAAGATGCTTCTCTTGCTCTTTCTAAAGCTACTCTTATATTATTTTCATATGCTGCTTCTACTGAACTTTCTATTAAATCCATAATTCTTTTTTCAGCAACTTTTATCTTTTCTTCAGGTCTTTATAAATAAATATTGAAATTTTAAAATTATATTTTACAATTTAATTTTATCTTATTATTAATCATTACAATCTTACGTGTCATCCTTTCCATTTTCTAAAGGTGGTACGGAACCTTTGGCAGAACTACTCATATTTAATGGATCAAATGTTTGACGAGTACTACTAGTATAACCAGCACCTCTGACTGCAGTCATTGGCCTAAGTCCACTAGTAATAGAACGCATAGATACACTAGTACCACTTCTATGAAACTAAAAAATATTAATTATATAATGTTATTTTTTATAATTATATAAATATTAATTATATATTGTAATAATATTATAAAATATAAATAAAATATAATATAAAAAAATACATTTACTTACTCCTGTCGATGTACCTAAACGCATAGCACTTCCTGGCACTTTTGGTGTGAACTATATAATTAAAAAAATAATTAGCTATGATTTAATTCAATTATACAATTTTATTATAAATATATTTATTATCACTTACAATTAATCTTTTTGCATAACTTGTATTGAGTGTTTCTTGGAATAATTCATCTTGTTCAAAATCTTTAATATTATATATTGATGGATAGTCATTATATCCATCATAAATATCATCATCAATTTGTACATTAGCCATTGCTAATATCATTGAAAATTTTTTTTTTACTTGTAAAATTATAAATTAAATACTTATAAAAGTATATTTTAAACAAAATAACTATAAATTGTATAACTTAATAAATAAAAATCGATAATACTTAAATTTAATGGTATTTTTTTTAATTTATCTATATAAAATATAATTGAAAAATAAATTTTGATTAATTTATACGCTGAATTATATACAAACCTTATCTAGTTACATCTATGTTTATAATATTAATAGATTTAATTATTTTTATATTATTATAAAATATATTTATTGTAATTAGTTGAATAAACATGAATTTTTATAAGAATAATTACCAATAAATGTCAAATTGTTACAGTTATTTGTAAATAAAAATACACTGTACTATAATAACATTCAATTGCATTCTGCAACGGTACTTAACATTTATTGGTTGGCAATGTAGGTCTTCGTGCACTTTTTGGGCGACAGATCTATAAAATCATGAACGTAATGAACTTTCATATAATCTTTACGTAAAAAAAAAAAAATATTTTAACGACGTATATTATTTTCAATAAACTTTCTCTCTACTCTTACAGTACATTTAATTTGTAAATATCATTAATTTTTTGTTAGTAATTTGACAGTACATTCTGCATTTGTTTCCAAAAAGGCGGGGTTACTTTATGTAGTGCTAAATAACCTGTTTTCAATAATATTGATAAATAGACGAATTTGACATGTGTTATATGATAATAAATAAGTTTCAATTGATATCATGTAAAAATATTTTAATTATTGACTCAAATACAATACAGTTCAATACTGTATCTGTAATGTGATTTTGAAAAATAACTTAATGCTATTTTAAGAAAATGACAACTGAACAAAGTGGACACGATCATTCTCTTGCAATAAGACAAGAAATACAACGTTTTGAAAGTGTTCATCCATCAATTTATGCTATTTATGATTTAATAGATCTTATTTCTGACACACACATTGCAAAACAAATTCGTGAACATGTTGTTGCAATTGAAGGTATAATATATATGTATATTATACTAAGAAAAGAAAATTATATTTCATAGTTTAGAAGAACATATATTTCATAGTTTTAAATATATTTTTTTTTATAAAATTATTAAAATAAAATCTTTTCTTAATAGATTCCTTTGTTAATAGTCATGAATGGACATTAGCTAGAGATGTTCCAGAATTACATTTGGGAATTATTGGTTCATCTGACTCAGGAAAATCTGCTTTAGTTCATAGATATTTAACTGGTTCTTTTATGCATGAAGAATCTCCAGAAGGTGGTCGTTTTAAAAAAGAAATCTTTATTAATGATCAGAGTTATCTCTTGCTAATTAGAGATGAGGGTGGAATACCAGAATCACAAGTATAGAAAATATATTTATATATTTATATAATTATCATATAGATATATGTGCATATTAAAAAATATAATATATATATATTTATATTTGATAATATTTAACAAAAATATTTATTTCAGTTTTCTGCTTGGATAGATGCTTTATTACTTGTATTTAGTTTAGAAAGTGAAGAAAGTTTCTCAATAGTTTGCAGTTTTTATAATAGAATGTGTTCATTTCGAAATATGTCAGAAGTACCAAAAATACTTGTAGGAGTTCAAGGTAATATTTAATTTCTCTTTATTCTTTTCTCTTTCATTTCTCTTATTTGCAAAAATATTTTTCATTACATTATATATTAATATGTATATAATTAAATAATATTTATTATATTATTTAGATTCAATTAATGATTCTAATCCCCGAGTTATAAAAGATGTTAGACCACGAAAATTGGCATGTGATTTAAGATGTCCTTATTATGAAACATGTGCTATTTATGGTTTAAATGTTGAAAGAGTATTTCAGGATGGTAAATAGTTTGAAACAATTTTTAAGATATATATTTTTAAGATATACATTTTAACTTTCATTAAAAATTAATTTATATATAATTTTTATAATATTGAAAATTCACAGTATCTATAATGATATATATATTAGTTATATATATATATCAGTATCTATGATTATATATGTATCTATGATATATATATATACATATAATTCATTTTTATTATATTTTTTCTTACATCATACTATTATGCTTCAGTGACTTTGATGATTATTTTGAGAGTATTCTGAATATTACAGTGTGTCAAAAAATTATACAACACATATCTGCAAAGCATTATCGATGTAATGGACAACAAGTAATAGACAATGAAACAAAGTATCCTGTTGCAATGATTGCCAAAAATACACAACTTCTGACCAAAGAAATGGAAGCAACAAATTCATCAAAATTAAATGTAAGTTATAATCTTCTTATATATATAAATTATATCAAATTAAAAAGTTTGTATAATAAATTGTATTTGTATAGACATCAGATAAAGATGAAGATTCTAGATCATTTCATAATAGTACCACTCAAAATGATTCTGGAATAATTGGTGATAATTTTCATAATACACAGAATCAACATGGAGATTTTAGATCTTCCATTTTAACACCAACTACTATCAGGTTTAATATAATTTTCATAAAATTATATATTTTCTTTCTTCTTAAGAAAAATAAAATTAAATATATTTTATGTAGGAAATTTAGAAGAAAGTCTAATATATTTACTCCATCAAAAAAAGAAAAATATAATATGGGTGAAATGGGTGTTGGTAGGGAAATACCTGTTAAACAAGGATATTTGTTTAAACGCAGTAGTAAATCTTTAAAAGAATGGAAAAAGAAATATGTTACACTATTAGAAGATGGTCGTTTAACTTATCATTCCAGTTTACATGTAATTATCCAATAACTAAATATTTCTTTAATATAATAAATTATATATTTGAAATATATATATTTGTTTATTTGTTTTTTTTAGGATTATATGAATGATACTAATGGTAAAGAAATATTATTACAATATGTGACTGTGAAAGTGCCTGGAAAAACGCCTAAAGGTTCTAAATCATCTAATGCTCAAGGTATTAAATCATATTATATTATATTTTTTCAGTTCTAAATAAATTAATTTTAAATTCATTTTATATATATATTATATTTTTACAGAAGATAGCTTTGAATTTTCTATCATTTCATTAGAAAATAAGACATGGCATTTTGAAGCAAATAATGCAGAAGATAGAGATAGTTGGATTTCTGCTATAGAACAACAAATATTATCAAGTTTACAAAATAGTGATGGTGAAAAAAAAAACGAAACTGATGCTTTCAAAATGCATTGTATAAGAAACAAAGTATCAGGAAACGATGCTTGTGTAGATTGTGGAGCATCTAGTAAGTATATACATATTTATTTATAAATTTATTAGAACAATCTTTCTGGTTTTATCTTTGATATATAATTAATAATTCTAATAATATTTTAGATCCAGACTGGGCTAGCTTAAATTTAGGCGTATTAATGTGTATTGAATGTTCAGGAATACATAGAAATTTAGGTTCACACATATCAAAAGTTAGATCCTTAGATTTGGATGATTGGTCGTAAGTGTGATACTTGTATAATAATTAATTCGTAACTGGCAATTTTTCACTCTATTTGAAATGAATACAATAAAAATATTAATATTATTAATATATATTCTTATATATAATTATATAATATTATATTCTTAATATCATATATGTATATATAGCAGCATAAAATAACCTTAATATTAATTTTAGCGCAGGTCAGTTAAGTGTAATGTTAGCTCTTGGCAATGATATAGCAAATAGTGTGTGGGAATATTGTCTAAATGGAAAACAGAAACCAAATTCAGATTCTCCTAGAGAAGAGAAGGAACAATGGATCAGATGGAAATATGAAGACAAAATTTTTTTACCACCAATTAATCCAAACATTTCTTTAGGAAAGCTGCTTATTGATTCAGTCTGCCGGTAATTGTTTTGAGACTTTGAAATAATTATTATAAGTAATTATTACATAATTACATAATTACATAATTATATTAAATATAATGTAGGGGTGATATGAGAGCATTTACATTATGCTTAGCCAGATGTAGTTACGAAGATATTAATATGCCTGTTAGTATGGAAGATTTAAGAACACCTTTGCATTTGGCTTGTGCCACAGGAAATTTAGCTATGGCACAACTTCTTATATGGGTATATTCACTCTTGAATAATTATGCTGTATATATTATATTATATAATATTAAAAATTAAATATTTTTATATTATTGAAAAATTACAGCATAAAGCAAATCCACAAAATTTAGATCATGAAGGACGTACTTGTATGTCATATGTGCGAGCACTTGAAAGGACGCTTGACAATTCATCAGATTCTATGGAAATGCAGAAACTTCTTGAAGTACTTGAACAAGCTAGTGTTTCTGGAGTAGATGATGTAGAAACCTCTCAGTATTAAAATTGTTTATATTATGTACTTATTTTGCATGTAAAGCCATATTTTAATTATTGGCTTAGAATTGATATAACTTTTATCATTAACAGTACTGATATTCAAAAAAACAATCAAAGTATGTTAAATGAATTCGAAGCATAAAACTCTATTTCTACAAAATAGAAAATTTATGTTACAATATATATCTTTTTAATGATGACTATAAATCTCATAAGAAATTTGATCAAATATTTTAACAAATATAACATACTTTGCATATATATTTGTACATTGAAAAGTAGTTTGAATTAAAAATGTAATTCATATTATTATATTTAATAAGGTTTAGGTCAGTGAAAGTAATGTCTAATAGTAAATTGGAGTGTACATTATCAATGACTGAGAGTACAAACACTCGTAAATCTAGTTATATTTATACATTGAATACATTTAATGTATTTGAAAAATGCTTTTATAATTTTTATTTTATTAATTATGAATTAAATGTAATTACCTCGCAATATAATTGGATTTATTTTGATACCTGACTAAATTTGGAATTTCGTTTTATTAAAATTCTTTAAAATCAATTTTTATTTAAATTTATTAGATGAACAAATTGCATTTATCACATAATATCCTTCATCTATCATATCCGAGTTATCTAAAAAAAAAAAAAAAAAATGTTAAATATATA